CTTGGGGGAAGGAGGGGAGTGGGCGGGCTGGGGGTTGAGCCTCCCTCCCCGCCCCCCCCAACCCCTGGTGCTTGCAGAGTAGGGGAAGCTGCCGTTGCTGCGCAATATGCTTCTCCTAGCCTACAGCACCTTCTGCCTCATTGCCTGTCTCATCTCCAGTGCCAGTGGGCTGTGCCTGTGTAGGATAAGGCAGGGGCACCTCCCAACTATAGTACTGTATGTACAGTATGTCTGTAAACACACAACACATACACACTACTCCCCCCCAGCGTAGTATTAAACTGCTTGTTTAAAATTTATATAATGCCTTTTGTCTGGCAAAAAAATTCCCTGGAACCTAACACAAACAAACACACACCCATTTACATTAATTCTTGTGCGGAAAATTGGATTCGCTTAACATAGTTTCACTTAAAGTTGCATTTTTCAGGAACATAACTACAGCATTAAGTGAGGAGTTACTGTAAAATGACAGGGTCTAAATTAGCTGTTACCACTCAAGAAAGAGATCTTGGTTGGAGTCATTGTAGATAATTCTCTGAAAACATCCACTCAATCTGCAGCAGCAGTCAAAAAAGCTAACAATGTTGCGAATCCTTAGGAAAGGGATAGAGAAGACAGAAAATATATTGCTCTATATAAATTCATGGTACGCCCATATCTTGAATACTGAGTGCAGATGCAGTGACACCATCTCAAAAAAGGTATTAGAATTGGAAAAGGTACAGAAAAGGGCAACAAAAATTATTAGGAGTATGGAACCACTTCCATATGAGGACAGATTAATGAAACCGGGACTTTTCAGCTTGGAAAGACGACGACTAAGGGGAGGGACATGATTGAGGTCTATAAAATCATGACTGGTGTGGAAAAAGTAAATAAGGACGTGTTATTTACTCCTTCTCATAACACAAGAACTAGGGGTCACAAAATGAAATTAATAGGCAGCAGGTTTAAAACAACAAAAGGAAGTATTTCTTCACACAACACTGTCAACCTGTGGAACTCCTTGCCAGAGGATGTTATGAAGGCCAAGACTATAACAGGGTTAAAAAAAGAACTAGATTAAATTCATTAATAGATGAAATTCATTACTGATTATTCTGTTAAATAGTCATGGAGTATCACAAAGTAACAACCGTGCAATATCCTTGCTTTGCAGTGTGTGGTTTACATCACTAGAAGATAATTCTGTATCATGGTAATGCAAATATTTCACAATATCAGGATGTCACATTGATTATTTGGTGTGTGACTCTATTCAACTATTCAAAGTTGAATTCCACTCTTCTATAGGTTAAACCCTTTTTTAGAGTTTACACTAACAAAGCTATTTTTGCTGTATACAGCAAATGAACATGACACACATCGACTCTGGAAAAATAGTGAATCTCATTTGAAGAAAGCAATGCAGACTGTTTATCTCCAGGAAATAACCAGGTAATCATCCCTTTTCATTTTTAGTCATCTGCCTCTCAAAAGCCTTACTTAAAATGTCAAATAGGTGGTGAGTAGTATTTCTTCCTGCCAGACTGATTTTTCTTTTTTCTTTTAACATCATTTTCTTTACAGCTTTGGTGAGGTCTTCCTTGGAGACAAGACTGGTGCAGGCCCCCAGGGATATGAGGACACCCATACCTCATTAACTGATTTAAACTAGCCCAGGACCTTTTGATGCAATATGCTTATGACATGCTCTCTATCCAAACTGAACAATAAATCTAGCCTTTGAGATTTTGGACAAGAAAAATAAATCTAGAAGATCCCTCACCAGATGTCGAAGCTCTTTCAAGTCCCTGCAGACTGTGTAGAAGACACCAAGAAGAATATTAATGTACGCAGCATAGAAATCAGCAGAATATTCTGGAGGATGATAATGGGACAGAATCTTTTGTAGGTTTCCTGTTCGGATATAAACAAGTTTGATTTTTTTTTTCCCAAAAAGCTGGCGATTGCCTTATTGTACTAATCATATTTTAAAAATTAAGTGCAGCACAAGCCAAACAATGATATCAGCTGTACCACAGAACCCAAAACAAAAGCAAAAAGAAAACCTTATCAGTAGGGGTAACAGAACCAAAAATGGTCTGGTTGCCTCAACATAAAAAAAAATTAAAAAATAAAATAAAAAAAAGCCAACCCATACACCTAAACTTAAATACCATCACAACGCTAAATCACACTAACTTTACTGACAACTAATTACAAGAAAAGCTTTAAACAATATGCTGCCAAAATGGCAAAGGATATAGAAACCGTCTCGACATCTACAGCTAACCACAGCTGTGGGGGAGAAATTCAGATCTCCAAAGAGACTCTTGTACTTCCATCAGCTGGCTGAGCTCTTCCTATGAGGGCCATGTGCATCTCACTAATGGGGATTCCCCAGAAACAATTCTTAAAGAAGTAAAATGGGATTTCTAGTCATAATGGATGAGGAAGATTGGGCTTTGCAGACTAAAGTGGCATAATAGTTAAGGGGTGGTATGTTCTCAGACTGCATGCAAAAGCAAAATGTGTGATGGGTGTTCCCTAGAGGAAAATGGAAGACAGGAGAAGGCTGGAGTCTCTGACCCTGCTGTGTAGTTCACTAGTTAGCATGCAGGGTGTGGTTTGAGACAGGGGATCTATATTGGAAATCTAGATGAATAAGAGGGAGGGAGTCTCTGAATCCTAAGTAGAGGGTGATTGGGAATATAGAGCTTGTAATTTTACCAAAGCCACGTATAGTTATTAAAAAAACAAAACACTGCCTTCTGGATTCTAGTAACCAGCATACACAACTGTCACATTTTCTAACTGGTTTAAAGCTGAAGCTTCAACCTACTCTCACTGCTTAACAAAAAACTAAGTGTTTGAAATGCTTAGTCCTTTATGCAAAGTACTAATATTATTCATTCAACAACAACAAAAAGTAGAAACAATTAAATTACCTATGCTGTAGTCAGGAAAATACAAGGTGAATGGCTCCAAGCATCCAGTGTTTGGACGAAACAGTTCCCACACAATTTCACTAAGGAAAATAACAGTGACATTTCTGTCTGTCTGTAAGAGAGAAAGAGGGAAAAGGTCACCTTGCATGTTAAAATATTAATCAGAAGAATGACTGTTAGGATTTTTCATTTGAAGAATTTCATCAAATTTAGTGTTTAACAAATTATTAGCATATTAATAAGTCTTTTGGTGGCCTAATCAAGAAGCTCATACATTTGCAGATTTTCATAATTATCTGGGATTCCTGTATATCTCTTGCCATTTAATTGACATTTAAGCTACTAGAGACCTGGGATACCAGGCAATATGAAGTTGCTTCCCTTCCCAAAATTAAGCCAACATTTCACTCCAATAATTAAATCCAGAATTTCATTAGGAGATTGTACAGTAAGAGTTGAGGAGGTAAAGGAGGACCAATATTTTGTGAAGGGAACACACTTCAGGCTTAATTTATAAAGGTCATCTGACTCATGCCACTACAAAGTTAGCTCTGTACTTAATTGATTGCTTTGCAATCTTAAACGTGGTTATGACTGGTAAGTAACTATACCATCACTTCAGCAAAGACTGTGGCAATATGCAAGGTCCAACTTAATATTAAGTTGGGTCTATAGGTAACAAATTACTTATTTTTCATATGGAAATATTCTTATTTTACACAGTTCCCACAATTTATTTAAGAATGAGAAAAATATTTCTGATGTCCCATTTATTTATTTTTTTAAATATCTGAGAGCTTACTTTAAAGAGAAAAACAGGCTAGCGTATTCACATTTTATAATATACAATTTTAATAGAATGTGCAATTCCATTATTCCACACGTCCTTGTGGGGGTCATCTTCATCTATCATTACTGTTAGGAAAGATTTTGCTCAGTGAACAAAGACTACATGCGTCTGACGAAGTGGGTATTCGCCCACGAAAGCTTATGCTCCAATACATTTGTTAGTCTTTAAAAAGCAACAGAGTCCTGTGGCATCTTTAAGACTACATGGTTAAGGTAAACCGATCAATCCTCAAAATATTCTGAGCTTATACCATACAAATATAATGCTACATTCTTTAATCTCTGCAGATCTTTTTGCAACTGTACTATAAACTCAGCAGTAAAGAGCGATGCCTTCAAGTATGGTTCTTCCGTGAAGAGATTTCAGAGTTCTGAAGCAGCCCATAAGTTTAAAAGTAAAAAAGCTTGTTTCCTTAGGTTACTTCCACAATATAAAAATCACCAGAAATTAAGAACCACTGATGTGAGTAAACAGAAAAGTAGTATGGCACATGGATTCCAGAAAGTGCAACAGAATACTGGCACATAGATTATCAGGAAAAGCATAGAGCACACAGTTCTTCCTTACATACATTGCTGTTTCTTGGTAGCTTCAAAAATAATAAAACAGATTTACAATAGGCTGATATGTAATGATTCAGGATACAGTTTCCATCTTGCACAAAGATATATTCTTTAAGGAAAAGGTGGAACAACCTATTTATTTTTCACTGCTTATGAATCACCTAAATATTGCCCCACCACAGGCAAGAGGATTGATATGCTTCTCTAATCAACCTCTACTGCTGCAAATTAATCCGCAATTAAAAAAATATTAAAATGTAAATCACTACATTTTTCATTTATTTTACACAAGGTCTTTGAACAAGTTATTTGCTAAGAAAACATGAGGCAGAAAGAGAGTGACACTGACACGCACCCACAGAAGTGTCTTGCCACCAAGATCAACATATAGCTACAAACTGCCCCATCCACTAACTCAAGCACATCAAGATGCTACAGCTTTCCACCGCCAGTGGAAAAGTCACTTTCACAAAACAACACAGCCCAACAGACAACGGAAAGGCTCCCACTAACTTCAATGGACTTTAACTCAAGTCCAGTCCTTTCCTAAATCAGAAGCAAGAGCAGCAGAAAAATATATTCTGTTCCGATCCCAAACAAAATCCCAAAAGAGTAATGCCTTTGCCATATTGCAACAGGGTAGACTCTTAAGAGGCTATCACACACACACCAAAAGTCAGAGAGCCCCTGCTGGTGACGAAAACAGGGCTAGCCATAATTGCATAACCAATGATCCAAGAGTCCCTGCACCAGTCTCCAGGAGGGCCATCACAAAGGGTTCTCAGACACTGTTGGAGAAATTGCAAAAAAACAAACACCTGGGAATGTGGTTCATCTGTCCAACCCCACACTCGCTACACTTGGGTTTAGCTCCCACTAAAGCAGCTGTTTCAGGAGGGTTTGCACCCCCCACACAGCCAGTTGCCAAGCTTTAAGAGTGTGCTACCGTTTAATCAAAGACCGTAGGAACTGAGCTATGCTAAGTTTTTTTTTCAGTTAGAAGTTGCTCCTTATATAGCTTACAGTCCTTCCAAGATTTTATACTTGCTTTGGCAATTATTAAAAAACCTTGATGAAGAGTGGTAGAATTTTGTAATAACCTCAAAAAGCAATACATATTTTAGAAGATGCAGTGTACAGTGGAAGCAGCTTCAAAAGATGCATAAAAGAGCTGATTTACAGGGCAACATATTATTAAATGGAATAAAACAGAGCACAAGAAGAAAGACCGTGATGTTTAAATTCTGATTTGAGTTCTGCCACTGACCAAAATTCTGCAAAAAAATTACAACTTTCAGAAGAAAAAAAAAAAGTTATACCCAAACTTCTCTAGGGAATTCACTGGTAGTGAGACATGGTATTACATCATCTAGACAGTATTTATCTTTAACTTCTATGAAATATACATTAAAAATACTTTACTCAGTTACTTACCATTTCTTGTAGTCTAAGAAACCCTGGCAACATATTTGCCTCCATTTCCCTCAGCTGCTCTGCTTTATCCAGCACCTTTTAACAAACAAGGATTTTATTATATAGTCAACTTTATTCTGCCCTTTTATGTGGAATTAAAAAAAAAAAAAAAAAAAAAACTTTACTAGTCCAGCTGATGGAGCCACATTTCACGCATACCTCTGGACGTCAAAGAAAGCTACTTAAGCAATAAGACACAAACAGAGCAAGTCTGGGGGATTACTCTTTCAAGGGTGATGGGAGCAGCCTAAGCAGTTCAGCCACCCAAGAAAAGTGATAACCCCCTAGAAACCAACTTTGTCATGACTTACGGCATGAGTGACTTAGCTGAGTATTATTCATAAAGCCATGACATCGGTAACGGCCAATTAAAAGCTCCATTTTTATCCAGCATTATGTTACTTCAAAAGATTTAAATATCCCATACATTATTAGGATATTACATGAATATGTTTATTATAAAAGAATAATTTTTTCCAACCAAGATTACCTTTTACTAATAAATGTGTTTGAAAAAAATTAAGCAGTACCTCAATTTAGCTATCCTTCTGAGGTTCATAAAGAGATATTCCTGGGGAAATTCTACATATCTGCGGATGCACAGAATTCCTCTGTCTCCCATAATTTTGTATTTTCCCACAAAAAATCTGTTGCCTAAGATGTGCTGCAGTTCTGCCTTTTGCCCACCAGAGGCCACTGGGGCACCAGACCAGCCAGCTGCCTTCATGATGGCTGTTCTAGCGTCACAGCAGCCTCTGGTGGGCAAAAGGCAGAACTGAAGCACCTTGGCAAAATGAATTTTATGAGGGAAAATACAAAAATTCTATGCTCAGTGCTGCAGAATTCCCGCAGCAGGAGAAGTTCATCACAGCACCTGCCCACAGAGTGAGGTTAGGACAATGTGGGGCACACAGGGCTGCTGGCGGGGAGGGGTCGCAGACCGGGGATCAGAAGGGCTAGTTGGGGGGACAGTCTGGAGAATGGGCTCGGCAGCTAGTGGGGTGACAGCGTTGAGCCTGGGGATGGGGAAGGGAGGCTACAGAGACCCAGAGGGATGAGGAATGCGGGGACGGGGCAGATGTGCCTAACAATGGAAGAGGCTTGGGGTCAGCCAGAGTCTGCATGGGGGAGGCATCCCAACACCCTAACAATCCCTCCTCACCCCAAAGAAAAATCTCCTACCGACACCCAACACCCTCCAGGTTCACTCCAGGCTCCCCCAAGCCTTTGCACTGCTTCTGACAGTGGCAGGAAATGCAGTTCTGTATTGTAATTTAATTGAATAACACAAAGTTCTGTATTAATATGCCTAGTAAGAAATCTATTTGTCAAGTTACCAAAATAATTGAAACACCGAGGAGTCCTTATGGTACCTTAGAGACTAACAAATCGAAAGCTTATGCCCAAATAAATTTGTTAGTTTCAAAGTGCCACAAGGACTCCACGTTGTTTTTGCCGATACAGACTAACAGGCTTCCACTCTGAAACCTGTTAAAAAAATTGAAACTGGCACGATTATATTGTGTTATTTTGACAAATAAACATGCAGAATTTTCAAATATTTTGTTGCAGAATTTTTTAATTTTTGGCGCAGAATTCCCTCAGGAGTAAAGAGTCTAATTTTCTTCTGTGATAATGTATTTTGTCCTCAAAAATTATGTCCAGAGATTTACAAGATTCTTTGTATTATTATGTGGAAGCCCAATACTGCTCCAAGAAATAACAAAACAAAATATGTGGTAACTATTAGTAAATATCAACTTTTTAAATGGGGACAACTGCAGATAAACAATTACTATATTTTATATCCTCAAGAGAGAAATGGAGGCCTTACCCAGAGTGAAAATACTGCTGGTTATAATTCATTAAAGAATTCTTAAGCTTAACACAGTTACTACCTTGATTGAAGAATAAAAGAGGGAAAACATAGGTTTATTTTATGTTCCACTTACTATGCTGAATTTAACTATCGATATCCAAGTTGATTATTTCTTTTGGATTATTGTTGCTGTAATGATATTACAGATCTGTAGAGGATTGTATGATTCTGTTCTCATCAATGGGTTTATTTTGTTCAAAAAGTTTTGTTTTTATTTTTTTTCCAAACCATTGAAAGACATGAATCTTCAGGGTCACACAATAGTGGGATGGACATGATACAGCAGTACCCCAGTTACAAAGGCTCCTGTTATTGGAATCTGTTTTATTCAGGTAGTAAAGATTACATTATCCCAAGATTCCAGGCTGAAGTCTGTGATTGGACCAGAACTCCAGGTTTCCCAGAACAGATACCTTAACTGCTCGAGTTTAATCAGAATTCCTTACAGAGGGAACGCATGCATTTTTAACTCACCAGATATTCACTAGTGGTCCTTTAACAAATTCCCATGTAACTGTTAAAAGTTTAGCATCAAACTGCTAAAAACTTGAATTAAGCATGTATTAAACAACTGTTTTCCATAGGCTGCTAGTGTAAAGAGACTATGGCATATCATGTTAACCAATACTGTCTCATTGTTTATTTGTACTCCCCCAGCTGTCTATATCCATGTGTCTCTTGTCCTATACTTAGACTGTAAGCTCTTTTGAGCAGGGACCAGCTTTTTGTTCCATGTTTGTACAGTGCCTAGTGCAATAGGTTCCTGGTCTATGACCAGGGCTCCTAGATCCCACTGTAATACAAAATAATAAAGTAGGAAGCAAACAAATTGGAATGCCTTTGTCCAAATCCACGTCCAAATTGGTTGGTTTGGCTTTTTCAGTTATGACTAAGCGATGTATAGCTTCTAACAATGCACAGCTAGGGTCCAGTCACTGAAAAGATATATAAATGAATCTCCAAGTCACTTTCTATATGGCCCCTTTGCACCATAATACATACCCAAAGGCTAACATCCCAAACTGACTTACTAAACTATTAACGAAAACATTAAGCATTGTCTATTATACTGAAGAGATTCCCTCTTCAAACTTATTTTTTTCTCGCACAGTAGTACACACACACAAAAAAACAGACCACCACATCAGACTAGGGTTTTTTGTAGCAGATAATATATAGTGATGACATAGCCAGTTGTATGCTAGTACACCTCTACCCCAATATAAGGCGAACCGATAGAACATGAATTCTGATATAACGCAGTAAAGCAGTGCTCCAGGAGGGCGGGGCTGCGCACTCTGGCAGATCAAAGCAAGTTCGATATAATGCAGTTTCACCTATAACGCGGTAAGATTTTTTGGCTCCGTTATATCGAGGTAGAGGTGTAGTTGTTGGTGCACCTCTAGTGGCTCATCACCCACACACTCAAGTACCAACAGCCAGCCTATAAATGCAGATGTTATGAAGCCAACCAGTAAGCAATATAGAATAAACTTTTGTTAGATGTTTTAGTCTTTTTTTTTTTAAATGTTTCTACAATTTCATTTTTAAAACACATTATAAAGAACAAAACTAATTCTAAATGTAAGAATAAATACAAGTCATATCAGCACCATCTTTCAAATAGGTAGAACAAATCATTTTCTCTTCATGCTCAGTACCTGTTCTTGGATTAAAAAACATTTAGAAGTCTTTGCCTGAGAGCAACCATTTATCTTAATTTTCTCTGACTTAATGAGGGCTGAAATATTTTAAATTATTTATCCCAGAAATGAAATAGAATAAAATTAGTTTTGCCAGTTTATGCTACCAGTATACAGTTCTTTCATCAATCTCAATTTAAACCATCCTTTAATAAATCCAGAGGAGACAGGTTAATTCCCATAAATTGATTTCTGCCCCAATTCCTGTCTGTTTCCATGAACAACAGAGTTGAAAAACGCTAATTTAACACTTAATTCTTCTCATCTAGCAACATTTTACCCAATACAATCGATCATTTCACAGTATTTAATGCCCTGTCTTCCAACATCAATTTTCAAGTAACTTCTAATATTCTGAGGGACAGTAATGCTAAATAAAATGTAAAATGTTCCTACGGATATTTAAATCAAGCATTTCCCCCTCTCTAAGTCATATACCAATATGGAAGCAATGGTGTTTTGTAAAATTCCCTGGAACATTATTTCAATCTTACAATCATATTTAAGAATATTTGTTTTACTTTTGTAACTACCTATTAAAAAGTTCTAACTAAACTTCCATGTTCTTTAAATATTCAAACTTTATTCAAAACACTCCTGTATAAAGTTACAAGATATTAATGCAGTCACTAAACAGAATATGAACTTCATCAACTCAATACTGTATGTATTTTGAAAAAAATATAAAACATTTAGCTGTGCCTGCAAAATTACCTGAAGATGTTTAAACATGCTTGTTTACTTCTTCCTTACTTGACTTCAAGTAAGGCAAAACACCACACTCAACTGGCTAGAGGGAATATTTAAAAAAAAGTCTTCCGGTGGTAAACTTGCAATCTGAACACCTTCAATTTTAGTCACATGGTCAATTCGGCCTCCTTTAACAAATCTTTAGTTCCTTTTCCCTCAAAGAAAATACATTCTGGAGAGTGTGTCCACTATTTATATTATTTCAAGTTCTCTGCTACTACAACTATGCTTTATGCATTATTTTTCACTTGGAATATAACTATAGTATTTCTGCTGGACTTCTTCCTCCACCCACTGTTCACATGATGGACAAAATTTTGTCAAGTTAACTTTTCATTGATCTACTTTTCTCCACACTGGCTGCCTTTACAGGTAAGAATTGAGTTTTAAATCTTGCTACTGGAGATTGAAGAGAGTTCAACAGCCCTTTTATAAGCAAACCAATCAGCATGACCTCTAGATTAAACCTGTGCTAGCCTAGCTACCCTCTCCACTTGGGTACTCCACATATAGCTTCCCCTATTCGGTTTCTCTCTAGTAGAACTATCTCCCAAAAGAGATTTGTGAGGTTGACTCTCTACCTAATTATAAATCAACTCAGTTTTCTCGACTGGCAACCTTTGTTAAAATGTTGCTTAGTTAACTATTTAGCACGATCTACTATTAGTATTTGCATGTGAATGGTTTTATAAAAATAGGCATATAGAGCCTGAGCAAACCCCAATGAAATCAACTGAAAGAATTTCATTAATTTCAATGATCTTTGAATCAGGCACATACAGTACAAGACAGAAATCCTATGTAAATTGATGAGCAACACCTATATTTTCATACATAAAGGAACTCTGATAAATACATTTAAACAAAATAAAAATAGGAGAAACATGCAAGTTAAATTACTTACAATATATACTGTTTGATTCTGTAGATCTTGAGTAATAATTTCTTGCTTAAACAGACGTACAAAGTCATTAAATGTGTCACAGGGCACATGAGAACCGTGTTTATTTTCAGATGAAAGGCTCTGCAACTGGGTCAAAATTTCCTCTAAAAGCAGCCTTGAAGTAAAGCATTCAACACAGTTCACAAACACATGAGGAAGCTAAAAAATGAGAAAAGACAGACAATTTAATTTAGTTATATTGAAAGAAATACAAATGATAAAAAATAATCCAAATGGTTAAAAATCAGAGCTCAATATTCTAATTTCTTTGCTCCCAAAAACAGACATAGGACTAAACTGCATCGCCATCAGCAGGACCCAGTATTTACAGAAATATGATCAATAATGGATCATCATATTTGTAGCAATTCAAAATTTTACATACCACAAAGGGCAAGTAAATAGATTTTTAACCATATTATCTTGTGACAGAGTTACTAATATGAAATATTCAGTGTAAATTATGTTTATGTTTAAAAACCCCTCTCTTCAGAATAACTCACAAGAAGAAAATCAAAGATATTTTTGATCAAAAACTTTTTTTAATCTATTACACATTACTGGGTCAAAAGCATCTGACTCAGGCTGGGCCTCAGACTTCCATTCGACAGTAAAGTTTCATGTAAAAAAAATAATTTAGGAATTAGTTTAAATAGGAAAAAATATGCAACTTCCACATACACTCTTGAGACAAGATGTTGATATTTACTTCCAATGCACTGTCAGGAGCATGCACCGATAATTTATCTGTGAGAATGAGCTGATGATTGGAAGCGTTACATATAGCATGATGTGTATTCAAATACATTCCTGCCATGAGCTTTTACTGTGGCAAAAAACTGTGCTTCACTGTTTCAGGTTCCCATCTCCTCACTTCATTTCTCAAATCCATTTCTGCAACACTTTTCATTAACAGAAGCCCTGAGATCACCTTACAGCATTATTTATATTGACATTTCAAGGCTGTTATGCTACAATTTAGATTTATCAGTTTGTTTTGGGTTGCAGGTCTGTGTGAACACAGTACACAACTCTGACTACACAGGAATTAGCACACAGAAGTAGTAAAAGCATTGAAATACATAAGATTCTTTGCATATTTAACGCCTTTCAGAGTGGATTATAAAAATGATAATTTAAACAACACAATAAAATCATAAAAAGTTCTTTTAAAAAATAAGCCTGTTTAAAATGAAATGTGAATTTAAAACAAAATATGTAAAGGCCTAGACTTATTATTTCTTAAAACATTTAAATAAAAAATAAAATATTCTGAATCCACGAGCCTTTATGAAAAACTGAGCTGAAGACTGCTTTTCTATATAAAGAAAGAATCAGGGGGAAAACATCTAACTTTTATAGCCAAACTTCATAAATGTAGCACAATACGTCAGCCTATTAGGTATATTATTTTTCTAGGCTGACCTGAAATACTCAGTTTAATTCACTGACTACCATTAATCCCTCTGTTTAATAAATCATTTAGTTGTAAATGTGAAACATATTTTGACTAGAGAAGTTTAGGTATCCAAAACTTTTAAGGTTTTGTTTAATAAAAAATAAGTTTTATATGCTGTTGTGTGTTTAATTAAACTCCATTTACCATCCCCTAATGCAGCTTGACACAAATCATGAGCAAAAAGTTAATTATCTAGTAAATAAGCAATAAATCATTCACCATTTTCTAACATACTAAAATGTGCAATTAATAAGACTCTGAAAATATTAAGATATCTAACTTGTTAAATAAATGTACACAGTTACAGCATACACTCCTAGGTAGCAAAAAGAAGTACCAAATGTAGTGTTAAGGCTCTATTTGGTTGTAAAACAACATGGTTATGTCAACCAATGAGAATGCACCTCTCTTTAGAAAATAACTGAAGTACAAATGGAAAAACTGATTAAAAAAAATTTTAATTGAGGCTTTGCACTTGACAATTTAAATCAATCCACCCGGACTCCATGACTGGTCAGAGGAACGAAACTGACCAATTAGAGAGAGAGCACAATCTATGTACAAACTTCACCGGAACACATGCCCTATATTGTATGAAAACCCAGAGCTCTCCTTATTTTGTTTACAGCAGAAGAGTTCAAGTTTTGTGACTTCTTCCACTGCTTCAGCCATTACTTTGGGGGGGATGGGGAGGGGAGATCTCAGCACTAAAAACAGCTTTAAAAATAAGAAAAAAGAAAGGGGTGATTTTACTGCTACTTCTAAGTAAAATTTCAGGCCTGTCAATTTTGGCAGTATCTTTTTAATGTTCAAAAGCTAAGGTTATCTGCCTTAATGGAACAACAACATTGGTTCCATTTTTGTTATTCTGTCACTCACATATATGGAAGGAAAGAAAGGTTACTTATGTAGCAATTGTAGCTCTTAAAATAGGTTCAAGAAACATATGTTGTTCTTCACTGAATATCAAAACCTTCTGGAAAGCAGTAGTCACTAGGACACACACATTCCTTGCAGAACCAAACTTCTCATGCAAGGTTATACATAGAAGCCCCCGTACTGAGCTCATTACAGTCATTCCACTTCATTAGAACCCACATCAAAGGCTCGGTGGATGTGGGAAAGTGTGGATACATGCTGACAATCTATTCAAACAATGTTTAGTAGGAAGCATCCTTATTTCCTTTTTAAAGTATTGTAAAGAAGAGCCTCACTCATGGGAGATTAAGTAGCAGTAACCACTACTCAAAGGAGAATTTGTTTAAGACAATTTAAAGAACTGTTCTCGCAAGCTGCACAAAGATCTAGTTGTCACGTCAAGTGACTGATATATCTAAGTGTATGGTTTCAATTCAGCGTGGCCATCCTGAGTAACTTGGCAACATAGATATTCTTCAGACAAGCTGTAGAGGCTACTTTGGACCTAATGGAACATGTTCTGAGTCCCTCACGTATGGAGACACCCAAAAGGATGTAATGGTTACGTATATGAAAAACTTTGTCCACTTCAGCAATACCTAGACAGAGGCCTTCTCTTGGACTTATCCTAACTAGGGATGTAAATATAGTTTTAAAAAGATAACTGTTTAAACTATTAAAATTATATCATTTAACCAGTTAACCAATTAAAGGGAGAGGGGCTGCAGCTGCTCAGGCACCACCAACAATGCAACAAAAATTCACATGGTTAAGTGCGCAAACAGGATGCAAGTTTTAGCCAAACAAAAAACAAAAACAAAAAAGTCACGTAAAGGAAGAGGGGAATCAATAAAAGAAGCCAACAGGGTGGACAAAGTTAGGCTGGCCTAGCTCCAAGATTCTCAAAGCTCATATTTTATATGACATCTTATTTACCTTATCACATTGTTCAAATCAAACCTTAAAACATGCTTATTAACTCACGACAGCAGGTTTGCAAAATGAGCTTTCAATTATGGCAGTCTATTGGGAAGTTAAATAAATACATCAAGGTCCAATATTTAAGCTTTATACATCTGCTATCTTGCAAGAGGTCTACATCTACCTTAAATTTTAACACCCAACTAATACTGAATTCCATATTCAAACAGGAAATAACATTTGAAACCCCAAACTGAAGGTTTATAATGATACAATTAATCATAATTTAGATTACATTATTGAAGTCAATATTCTCCATATTTTGTATTGTCCCATAAATCAGTGAACAACATGGCCAACAGGGCTTCAAGACATTTAGTTAATTTAAAAAAAATCATCCAGACTCACTCTGCTAGCTGTGCACATAGCTAACCAGTGTAACTGCACATCAGGGCACACTGATTTAAAATCTAAGGGATTAAAACCATCAATTTTAATTAGAACTGTCCATTAATCACAGTTAACTCACACGATTAACTCAAAAAAAATTAATTGTGATTAATCCCAGTTTTATTAGCACTGTTAAACAGAATACCAATTGAAATTTATTAAATATTTTGGATGTTTTTCTACATTTTCAAATATATTAATTTCAATTACCACACATAATACAAAGTATACAGTGATCTTATTTTTATTACAAATATTTGCACTGTAAAAAGGATGATCAAATAGTATTTTTCAGTTGACCTCATAATAAGTACTGTAGTGCAATCTCTATCGTGAATGCGCAACTTACAAATATAGATTTATTTGTTACATAACTGAACTTAAAAACAAAGCAACGTAAAACTTTAGAGCCTACAAGTCCACTCAGTCCAACTTCTTGTTCAGCCATTCGCTAAGACAAACAAGTTTGTTTACATTGAAGAGAGATAATGCTGCCCGCTTCTTATTTAAAATGTCGCCTGAAAGGGAGAACAGACATTAACATGGCACTTTTGTAGTTATCACTGCAAGGTATTTACGTGCCAGATATGCTAACCATTTGTATGCCACTTCATACTTTGGCCACCATTCCAGAGGACATGCTTCCATGAATTGTATGTCTCCTGCTCTGTGTTTTACCCGCATTCTGCCATATATTTCATGTTATAGCAGTCTCAGATGATGACCCAGCATGTTGTTCATTGTATGAACACTTTCACTGCAGATGTGACAAAATGCAAAGACGGTACCAATGTGAGATTTCTAAAGATAGCAACAGCACTTGACCCAAGGTTTAAGAATCTGAAGTGCCTTCCAAAATCTGAGAGGGATGAGGTGTAGAGCATGCTTTCAGAAGTTTTAAAAGAGCAACACTCTGATGCGGAAACTACAGAACTCAAACCACCAAAAAAGAAAATCAACCTTCTGCTGGTGGCATCTGACTCAGATGATGAACATGAACATGCATCAGTCTGCACTGCTTTGGATCGTTATCGAGCAGAACCTGTCATCAGCATGGACGCATGTCCTCTGGAATGATGGTTGAAGCATGAAGGAACATATGAATCTTTAGTGCATCTGGCACGTAAATATCTTGCAATGCCAGTTATAGCAGTGCCATGCAAACGCCTGTTCTCACTCTCAGGTGACATAGTAAACAAGAAGCGGGCAGCATTATCTCCTGCAAATGTAAACAAACTTGTTTGTCTTAGTGATTGGCTGAACAAGAAGTAGGGCTGAGTGGACTTGTAGGCTCTAAAGTTTAACATTGTTTTATTTTTGAATGCAGTTATTTTTTATACATAATTCTACATTTGTAAGTTCAACTTTCATGATATAGAGATTGCACTACAGTACTTGTATTAAGTGAATTGAAAAATACTATTTCTTTTGTTTTTACAGTTCAAATATATATAATAAAAACTATAAAGTGAGCACTGCACACTTTGTAGTCTGTGTTGTAATTGAAGTTAATATATTTGAAAATGAGGAAAACATCCAAAAATATTTATATAAATGGTATTCTATTGTTTAAACGTGTGATTAATTTTTTAATTTTTTTTAATTGCTTGACAGCCCTAATTTTAATAATGAATTAAATCAGTGAACAGGAAAACTTGATTTAAATTATTTATTTTAATCTTGTTTTGCATTTGTACTTTAGAAATTTTCCTAGAGAGAGAATCATTCGCTTTAGTTGGTATATTTTGGTACTTGATTTTGCTAACCAGGAGGATATTACCTCCCCCCCTTATATTTATTTAAGCAATTATATGGTTTCACACATGAGTTATTCAGATTCTTAATTTTTACTTTTGTAAATTATGTTTGAAAAATGGTGAATGATGATGCATTTCTGATTACAAGATGATTAATTTGTTACTCAAATACTGTACAAGACCTAATGAAATGGTGCTTTGAACACGATCAGGACTTCTAGGCATCATTGTAATACAAATAGCCAACAACCAATAGCATTTTGGGATTAGTATTTGTAGAATGCATACAAATACAATTTTATATGCAAATAAAATGGATTGAAAGGTGAATTTCTCAGCTCAAAAAAAGTGAGCTGTAAATGATTGTCTCCGTTCAGTGAGTGATGTCTTTGTTGCAATTAGTCCAGACAGCCATCTTAGTTTACCACTCCCCAACTTAAAAAAAAAAAAAAAAAAATCCAAGTACACCTCTACCCCGATATAACGCGACCCGATATAACACTAATTCAGATATAACACAGTAAAGCAGTGCTCTGGGGGGGCGGGGCTGCGCACTCCAGCAGATCAAAGCAAGTTCGATATAACGCGGTTTCACCTATAACGTAAGATTTTTTGGCTCCTGAGGACAGCATTATATTGGGGTAGAGGTATATTTTTGTTTGCTTGTTTTTTTTAATTTCAAGTCAGGCTTATTATGATCAACACTGGCCCTTTATTAATGACCATTCACCCATCTTTCTGTAGTGGACCCACCAACTCCAGAACATTTCCTTTTATCAATTTTGAATTTTATGAGTTTATTCTATTTTAATTTGCATTATGTTGTGCAGCATCCTTGATGAGAAAGAAGGTGTTTTATGTGGCAATCAAGCAATAAGTGGAAGAGATACTGTAAGAATAACAGGCAAGAAATAGGTGCAAAATAAATTGTTCTTGCAATTCTCCATCAAATTTAAAGTAGCTAGTTTGGGAACTTTTTTTAATTCCTCATTGGCTCAAAGTGTTTTATGAATTCCGTAAGAATTTATTCTTACCTCTAATGTTTCTAGAAGAGTTTGCATCACATAGGTCTTGCCACTAGAGGTATGTCCATAGATAAAGATGGATGGGAAGCTAAAATGTTGACGCTAGAAAAAAAGTTTAAAAATTTTAATACCTAACATTCTCTTTTTTTCTGAGATTTAGAGAACTTTGGTTCATCTCGTTTGCTGCCAGAAGAAAAGCTTTGTTTTAAATTAAGAGACTCAAATACAGAACACTCCAATTAAGATGCAACATGGTATTTTCTCACTCTGATTCTATGATCCTCCAAACCTGAGAGCAGGGTTCAAAAAACGCCCTAAAGCCACCACTGAAACTCCCAGATCATTAAGGCTGTCTCTTCATTAGGCAAAGGGTGTGTTCTTAACTCAAGTTAGCTAAACTGAGGTAAAATTCTAGTGAAGACAAGGTAGTTCGTTGGCTTTACTTCAACCTGTTAACTCATAAGAAAATGACAACTGGGATTTTAACTCAAGTTAGCTAACCTGAGTTAGAACAAAAAAAGTGTTCTGGATTCTGCCACCCTTACTCATGTTGAGTAGTAGCTTACTGGTCAAGATGTCCCACTGATAATGATGGCACTAATTGCAGAGTACTATTCAACATGTGTAAAGATGTCAGACTCTAGTCCTTTAAGGGTACATCTACAATGCAAAAAACAAGATCTACAGCCTCGGGCTCATACTACAGCACTAAAAAAAAAAAAAAATACATAGAATCATAGATGTGTACAACAGGAAGGGACCTCAGTAAGTCATCTAGTCCAGTCCCCTGCACTCAAGGCAGGACTAATTATTATTTAGACAAGGGGTCTCAAACACGCGGCCCGTGGACCACATGCGGCCCAGGAGGTAATTTTCTTCGGCCCGCAAACTCCTCGCGTCTCCTACTCCCCCTGCCCTCCTCCAGCGTTTACCTAGAGTGGCTCCGGCCCGACGCGCACCGGGGACAGGGCAGGCTCCCTGCCTGCCTGCCCTGCCCCCGCGCCGGGAAGCGGCCGGAACATGGGGAAGGGGGGGCACATTGGTGTGTGTGTTGATGTTGCTTCAGGCACTGCCCCCAGCAGCTCCCATTGGCCGTGGCTCCCTGTTCCCAGTCAATGGGAGATGCTGGGGGCAGTGCCTGAAGCAACAGCAATACACACATCCCTGAGCAGTGCGGGGGCAGGACAGACAGGCAGGCAGCGAGCCTGCCCTGCCCCCGGTGCGTGCCGGACCAGAGCCCGCCCCCGAAACCCTTCTGCAGCCGAATCCCCTGCCCTGAGCGCCTTGCCGCACCCTGCACCCCAACCCTCTGTCACACCCCGACCCACTGCCCTGAACCCCCTGCCGAACCCCTCACCCCTCCTGCACCCCACACCCCAACCCACTGCCCTGAGCCCCCTCCTGCACCCCACACCCAAACTCCCTGCCCTGAGCCCCTGCCACACCCCACACCCCTCCTGCACCCCCTGGGGGCTGGAATAGGGGCAGGGAAGGAGTGGGAAGAGGTGGGGCCTCATGGAAGGGTTGGAGTGGGGGCGGGGCCAAGGGTGGCGGGGAGGGGGGAGGTGTCAGTAATGCGGCCCTCGGGCCAATGTACTAGTCCTCATGTGGCCCTCGTGATCATTTGAGTTTGAGACCCCTAATCTAGACCATCCCTGACAGGTGTTTGTCTAACCTGCTCTTAAAAATCTCCAATGATGGGGAATAGCAGTTTAGATGTTCCCGGTTGTGCCGGAGCTCAGGTCCTGAGACCTACCCCTTTCCCAGGTTGCAGAGCCCAAGCAGGAAAGTCTGCACTTTTATTTTTAGCACTGTAGCACGAGTCCAAGTCTGTAGACCCAGGCTCTGAGTATTACTATGCATTTTTGGGTTTTTTGGCAGTGTAGATGTACTCTCTTTTAGACTCAAAAAGCTAAATATCAACTTCCACCCTCCTGATATTTTCTATAATGGAAAGCAGTTAATTTAGGCTTAAAAACTAAAAAAAAAAAAAAAAAAAAAAGTAATTTCTCAAATTATGAAGTGATAAATACAAGTTACAAAAGGGCTAAGACAGAAGATATTGGAACATGGGAGGAGAGGAGGACAGAGAGGGGGCAAGCCTCCTCACCCATAATACCTAAAACCATAGTTGTTACCCAGTATTCATGCTATATTTCTCAAGGTAAACTTTATCAAATTATAAATCATTTTAAGGGCTAATAAAAATTAATATCTGAAGCTCTTCTATTGTTTCCCAAAGCCTGAGTAGCCATTTTCGCAGCTGCTGATATTTAAAATTTTACCCAAACCATAAGTATCTTAGGAGCCTAAGTCACTTACATGCTTTGAAAATTTTACCTTCCTGTTAAAACCTATGTCCCTATGATTAAAAAGGATAACCCAAAGCAGTTTAATTGAATGAAAAGGAGGAAGTGTGGAGAAACTAAAAAAATAAAATAAAAATGAGAGAATTTTGATTAGAGGGGAAAGACTGGAAGCAAATATATCTTCAGAATGAATTGTATTTGTTTTTTGTCAAAATGTGCCCATTGTAGCTTTAAGGCAGCTGTACATTTTTTTTAAATTAACTAAGACACCCAAGCTGACAAAGTTAACAGAGAAAACATCTTCTGAATAACAAAAACTAAATGCACTCAGGTCATGACTTAAAAACAAGTGCCTGAGTAAAGGTAAGTCTTCAATATGTTCTGAAGGCAATGCTTGAAAAATTCACTCTCCAGTGGCAAGCAGGAAGTTTACCCTGGAAAGTATGGGGACAGCCTAAGCCATAAAGATTCTGCAGAATTTAAGCTTTTGTTTAAAAACCAAATTAAGCTTCCAGCCTTTATAGCTACAATAAATACATCAAAATCCAGTATTTAAGCTTTATAAATATACTACACCTTGTAAAAATCAAATGCAGTACCAGACAAACTATCAACATCAATTTACATATTGTTAACTGAATGTAAATTGATACCATGCTGCCTTCCCAGAGTCTGCAGATAAACAGCTCCATTGCCTTTGCCACTGCAATAGCTTTGCCAAGCACCAGTAGAGTAAAAATTAACACGTCTCTGGTCAGTTTTATAGCAGCTATTCCAGAGCCTTATGGACAGCAATGAAATTATCAAGAATCATGTTTCATGTTGTTTCTGTTGGGAAAGCTACCGGCACAACAGCAGAGACAGGTACCAGAGTTACCCATATGGGAGGACCACCCAAGAAAAGATGAGTTGTGAGAGAGGCAAGGATCTTTCCCATCACACCTCACAGCAGCTAAGAATGACTGGTACTGGAAAGCCAACTAACAGCAGCCAGGAGTGGAAAAATAGCTATAAAGCTCCCCCTTGCTTACAGCAGCTAGAGGATCTTGTGTTTTCAAGTTTATCAAACAAGATCTCAAATTACAATGTAAACAGCTAGCCTAGTTCAGAGTAATAATACATTTAAGTTTGTTTTCAGCCTGTCCGTAAAAACAAGCATCTATAAATCTACCCAAATACACAATATTGAAAGAGCTACCTCTCCAAATATTGACAACAGTGATGACACTTGGGATTCTCGACAGGGCACCATACTTTCCAGGTGAAGCAAGGTAGCTTCGGGATACTCTGGATGTTCGAAATTAGGCATTTTGATTCAAGTTTCTGTCATCAGTCATCCAACTGCATTTGCATGGCACCTTCCAAGAGGCAAGAAGGATCAAAGCGATGACCTGGAAAATAAAATATTATTTTTTCATATGTGGAGAAATAAAAGTAAACTAAATAAGAGGTGACAATCTCTTCTTACAATCAGACTTTGTAACCAATGGCAATGATGATTAGTTACTTATATGACGGTAGAACCCAAAGACCCCATTCAGGACTGAGGCCCAATAGTGCTGGGCATTATACAGAAATAGAAACAAAAAAGAGAATACCTGCCCTCGAAGGTTTACAACTTAAAGACACAAACAAAAGGGCAGGGGTGGATACAACAAATGAGCAATGAATATGCTGTCACAACTTTGCTAGTTACATGGATTGCAGTTGGTTTTTACTTTATTTTTTGAGGGTAAATATAGGAAGTAAAGGAGTAGAGAAAGGAAAGAAAAGAAATTAGTCTCAGCTGGTCATCTGCTTAGCCATGATTAGCAAGATGAGATTAGTAAGCATCACAGCAGCGACCAGCCTTAAAGAAGGATATGGAGGATAAAATAGTGGCTCTTCAGATATTCATCAGGGAGTTTTCCTTAAGCATAAGGGGCAGCATGGCAGCAAGCATAGAGGTGTTTAAGCAAGCAGCTGATTGGTGGGTGATAAGGGATGGGAACACTTGCAGAGTAAAGGCAGGGGCTGACATCATAATAGGTTACTAAATCAGTTAGGAGATGGGGCTAAGTTATGAAGAGACTTAAAAGGTAACAATAAGAAACTTATATATTTGATGTGGAAGTCAATGGGGAGCAGGTGGACACCTCAAAGAGGGATTCAATGTGATCAGAACGATGAACCAGAAAAATGATCTTTAATCTGAATAGACTGGAGGAAAGCAAAAGTTACAGCAGTCAAGTCAGGATGAGGGTTTCATGAGTCTTCACTTACTAGGGGGTGGGGGAGATAGATTTTAAAGATTTTTTTTTTAAAGCAAGATAAAAAAACACAATGGCCCAGTCAAAGAGGACACCTAAAAGCTACACTACCTGAGTGACAGGGAGAATAGCGGTGTTGTCTACTCTGATAAAGAAAATGGCCAGATGGGAGAACCTGAGAAAAAAGACAAAATGTAAAATGATGACTGGACATCAAGGAAGAGATGTCAGAAAAACAAGCTGAGATAGGACTAGATGAAGCAAGATACCTCATTAGCTGAGAGGTAGACCTGTGAGTTATCAGTGTAAAGATGGCACACCAAGTGCTTTACAAACATTAAAATACCCATGGGAGGCAAACCTTTTTAGGCATATTGTACAATGAAAGAAAAAAGAACAGCATCCCTGTTCTTGGACTGGAAGGGGAGAACCAAATAGTCCTGATTCTCAAGGTTTGCTACCCATTTCTTCAGCATGAAAAAAAACAATATCATTGTGTGAAAGTGCATCTTGACATCACACTATTTGTGCTGCCAGGTCATGACATCGCATAGTGCATGAGGACAATACAATCACCTTATTTTGCCACCTCCCGAAGGCACTACGTTATACTCCACACAGGATTCAGAATAAGCCCAGGACTCACCAAACAACCGATCCTGCATAGCAAGACTTTGCTGCAAGCTTTGAGGTAGGTGGCTACTTTACCAATGCCACAGATATACTATCCCCCTCAATTTCAGGGGAAGGAATTCAACCGTGTACCTCTGCTCCAGCCAGCACCTTGTCAGGTGGAAATCGCAGGGGCACCTGGCTGTAGCCATTATCCCCCACACCTTTGCAACAGGTAGCAACCCCGCCCAGACCCACACCCCCAGCACTAAGGGAGGGGGCGGAGTTTGCATGTAAACATCCCTCAGCTCTGTCAACACTTCAGCCCAGCAGCCAGCGGAAAGCGCCTGGAACGGGCAATCCCGCCCGGGGCAACCCCACGCTCCGTGCCCCTGCGCGCCAGGACTTCGCCCCACAGCTCCCCCCTCATTCCGAGCCTGGCCGCAGCTGCGCCAGGACGTGGGGGCCCCTGGACCCTCGCCCATCCGCCCCCAGGACACGGCTGCGTTCGGGAGGATCCTGCCCCTCTCCTTCTGGCTCCTTCGGTGTCGGGGCAGCCCTGACGCTCCCCTCCCGACCCAGGCCCGGCCCCCCCGATGCGGGCTTCCGGTCACCGCCCCGCTCACTGAGCCGGGGCCCAGGCAGGATGCACGCGCACTCCCGGCCCCCAACCGTCCACCAGCAGCCAGCGCTGGACACTCACCCCAACCCGACACGCTGCCTTGCCGGGCGCTGACTCCGAACCGAGCGCCTGCCGTTGCGCAGGCGCACCTTGCTCCTATGGTCCACTGAATGCGCACGTGCCAACTGTTTGCACATGCGCGTTGGGAAATTGAAGTCTCCCAGCATCGGCGCCCATATTGTGTCCATACCTGAGGTTAAGGGCGGGGAGGGGGATTGTGCCTCCGAGGCCTTGGCGGCGCTGAAGGGGAGGAGGCGGAGCAGCCCCAGGGGGAGGAGGAGCAGCCGGGGCGATGCGGATGGGGTGCGGGAAGTGGGGGAGCAGCCGGGGGTGGCAGGGATGGGGATGGGATGGGGGAAGATGGGGAGCAGCTGAGCGGGAGCAGCCGGGGGGGGGGGTTGGCAGATGGGATGGGGGAAGATCATAGAATATCAGGGCTGGAAGGGACCTCAGGAGGTCATCTAGTCCAACGCCCTGCTCAAAGCAGGACCAATCCCCAACTAAATCATCCCAGATGGGGAGTAGAGGGGGAGCAACCCGGGAGTGGTGGATGAGGAAAGTCGGAGCAGCCGGATGATGGAGGGGGAGCAGCCGGGGGATGAAAGCTGGGGATGGGATGGGGGATAGAGGGGAGCATCCGTCGGGGGGGTGACGGATGGGGGAAGACGGGGAGCAGCCGGGGGGTGATGGATGGGGAAAGACAGGGAGCAGCCGGAGAGTGGACGGGGAGCAGCCAGGGGATGGGACGAAATGGGGGAAGACAGGGAGCAGCCGGGGGTGGGGGGTGGATGGGGAAAAATGGGGAGCAGCTAGGGAGTGGAGGGGGAGCAGCTGAGTGATGGCTGATGGGGATGAGATGTGGGAAGATGGGGAGCAACCCAAAGGATGGTGCATGGGATGGGGAAAGATGGGGAGCAGCCTCTGGTTGGCAGATGAGGAAGACAGGGAGCAGCCTGGGAGCTAGCTGGGAGGCTTCTGAGCATTTTCACACAACCTCTCTGAGTGATTGATTAAATTTTCCTTATATCATCACCAGTCTGGAGGAGAGAGATTGAGATTTGAAGCCACCATTTGTAAAGGCTGGTGCTGGGCCCAGGGGATCAGACAGAGTCTGGGGCTTTGTCAGGACTCAGGCCCTTGCATGTGCTGGGCCCAGGGCAGCAGAAGTGGAGGCTGTCTTTCTCCAGCTTGTTTCAGAGATCAGCCTCGGCTGCATTTTAGACTTAAATCTGCATTTGAAACCCATGGTAATTTATAGATTACAAGGGCTACATTACTCTCACCACTGGAAGTCAAGAGTGTTTGGATGTCTGTGCTGAAAGCCACTTTAAAATAATTCCTCCGTGAAGAGGAAGAAGCTATAGTTTATTTAAGAAGCCTTCCATCACCAAGATAGATATTTATGTTGCTGTGCCACACTCAGATCTGAATCTGAAGTTGTTTGATTGTGATTGCCAGCAACTGTGGAGCCTAAAAGGACTGAGATTAAAGATGGAAAAAATCATGGGTACAAATATTATAAATATTTAACTAATTCCTTGAGTTTTCAGTTTAACTCCTGTTAACTCCCTATCGAGTTTAAAGAGAAATATATGTTAAGTCTCCATTTATTAGTTCATTGTGTATAATTGGGAGTAACCTTTATGTTGTTCCCTGTGGGAGGTGGGGAGGGATAGAGAGGGAGGAAGGACTATAACAGATTGAAAGAACTGTTGCACTAGCTAGTATACACTACTATATCAATGTCTCAGGGAGGCTCTAGAGACATTTGCATCTGTCTTGTTGCTAACACATTTTCTAAATGTTACTAACAGAATAAAATTAAAGAAAATTAGTATGCAGTATGCCCTAAACTATTATGTATACCAATGTGGAATATGATTTATCTGAAAAGAATGCTCATGCATTAATACAAATTAAGTTTTGTAAAGCTACCTTTTACAAAACACTTACAAAAATAGCATTTTTAAATTTCAATGAAAAATTTTATTACGTTTAAATATTCCACTACTGTGTTTAAAAACTCAAACACAATAGTGCAGTGCTAGTTCATGAGAACCAAGATGTAATACCCACTCTCCAGTTTAGTTTCACTGCCTAAAATGAGTGAAATGCAAAACAAGTGTTTACAAATTGTGATTTGTTATACTTAAGGTTCACACACAAAAACATATACAATCCTAGTAAACCAGCCAAAGGGGAGGGGGGACATAATACAGAGCTATAGGCATATATGGGTTAAAAAAATAAATCCAGAATGAAGTTAGAAAGAGTGGAAAGGAAAAAAAAAGGAGTGGGGCAAAACTATCACTATCTGGAGTTCCTCTCTTTTAATTCCATTTTAGACCCTTTCTAGTCTGGCTTCTGTCCCTTGCATTCCACTGAAAAACACTCTTGCCAAAAGCTCTAATGACTTCTAACTAAAGCTAAGAACCTGTACTCCATCCTTGATTCTCTTGACCTGTCAGCTGCCTTTCACGCAATCAATCTTCTTGCAATCTTGTCCTCCCTTGGCTTCTCTGAGTCTATCTCACCTCTAATTGCTCCTTCAGTGTGTCTTTAAGACTACCCTTCTCATCTGCCCTCCAATTTTCTGTGGGGGTTCCACAGGACTCTGTTCTTGGTCCCCTTCTCGTCTCCCTTTACACCTTTGTTACGGAGTCCCCGGGCAACGCTTTGGAACTGCTCCCCACAAAGCCAGTCAGGACTTTGGGGAGCCTCCTCTCCCTTGGAGCAGACTGTCTTTAGGGCAAGAAGCTCACACGACTTCACCTTCCTGGAGCATTCAGCATATGCCCCTCCGTGTGTTTCCCCACAGCGTGTTCGCCCATGCGGGGTCCTGGGGAAGCCAGAGGGTCCTGCATGCACCCTAACTTCGCAGTCAGATATGACTTTTAGCCAGCCAGTAAAACAGAGGTTTATTAGATGACAGGAACACGGTTTAAAACAGAGCTTGTAGGTACAGAGAACAGGCCCACTTAGTTGGGTCCATTCTGGGGCCCAGCGAGCCAGACAACCCCGTCTGCCCTCACTTCCCGTCCCCAGCCAGCTCCAAACTGAAACCCCCACCAGCCCCTCCTTTTTGGCCTTTGTCTTTTTTCCAGGCCAGGAGGTCACCTGATCTCTTTGTTTACCTTTAGCTATTCCCTTGCAGGGAGGAAGGGCCCCAGCCATTTGTTGCCAGGATACAGAGTGTTGGCCATTTATGCACACTGAAGACTTAAGAAATGCATAGGGGAAACTCAGGCACCCACGCAGTATTTAGAGGAAACATTAAGAACAGTCCCACTTCGTCACAACCTTATCTCCAGGTGATCTCATCCACAAACACAAATTCAGCTACACAAATAGTCTCTGTATGTAGACTATTCACAGATCTACCGCTCTGCTCCAACCCTCTCTTTGAATCCCTTCATGGACTCCTTGTCTATATTGCATCAAACATAAGCCGCATGTCTTCGCTTTCAAGGCCCTTCACAGTCAATCCCCACTCTACCTATCATCTCATTCACTACTGTGCTGCCAGTGTTCGCCCAGTCCAATTGGACCATGATGCCACTTCCATTGCCCACTTGTTAAATTTTCAAACACCTTCGTGATTTCTCCCATGCTGTCCATATCCTTGGGAGCTGCTCCCCATGAACATTGCAAAGCTATCTCATCATCCACCTTCAAATCCCTCTTCAAAACTCTCCTTTGCCATGATGCCTGCAAAAACCTTGACAATAGCTGCTGGTTGCCTAAACCATGGCCTGCAATGCTGACCAATATATTGCCTCATTGTTTCTTTCCAACATACTTCCTCATTGTACTTCCTCCATCTGTTATCTCTTGTCTTAGGGCTTGTTTACACTTAAAATGGTGCAGCTGTGCCGCTGTAGTGCTTCAGTGAAGACGTTTCCTATGCTGATGGGAGGGGTTCTCTCGTCAGTGTAGGTACTCCACCTCCCTGAGAGGTGGTAGCTATGTCGACGGGAGAAAGCACTGTCTACGCGGGGGACTCAGTAGGTTTAACTGCATTGCTCAGGGGTGTGGAAAAATCCACACCCCTGGGTGACATAGTTATAACAACCTAAAATTCCTAGTATAGACATAGGCGCCGACTCCGTGGGTGCTCCAGGGCTGGAGCACCCATGGGGAAAAATTGGTGGGTGCTCTGCATCCACCAGCAGCCAAGCTCCCCTCCCTGCCCCCTGCCTCATCTCCACTTCCTCCCCTGAGCATGCCGCATCCCCGCTTCTCCCCCTAGCTCCTAGCACTTGCCACCGTGAAATGGCTGTTTCGCGGCGTAACAAGCTCCGGGAGGGAGAGGGGAGGAGCAGGAACGTGGCTCGCTCAGGGGAAGAGGCAGGGCCGGGGAGGGGATTTGGGGAAGAAGTCCAATAGGGGCAGGGAGGGGGCGGAGTTGGGGCAGGGACTTTGAGGAAGGGGTTGGAATGGGGGCAGGGCAGGGCCGTGAGCAGGCGGGGCAGGGTGGAGTTGGGGCAGGGCCAGGGGCAGAGGCAGGCTGAGCACCCACCGGTGCCAGCAGAAGTTGGCGCCTATGAGTATAGACCAGGCCTTATACTTAGATTGTAAGCCCCTTGAGGCAAGGACTGTCTTTTTCTATCTGTACAGCACCTAGCACAATGGGTTCCTGGTCCATTATTAGGGCTCCTAGGCACTGTAATACAAGTAATAAATAAAAGGAGCCAGTAGTGGACAGCATAGAGCTGATTACAAGTCACCCAGGGATTCTCCTATAGGACTGCATTCTGGTTGCTTTGTACTGGAACAGGGCCTGAGGATCTGAGTCACGCTTTCTCTTTATGTTTGCTAAAGACAGTTATAAATTCCTCTTTGGTCTATCTGCATCTTAGTGTTTATAATCAACA